GTTGGAGATGAAGAGCACAAGACTCTTCCCTTTTATCCTGTGGTTCCTAAAAGACTAGAAAAAGATCCAAGAACCACCTTCCAAGTAGCAGAAAATAGCAAGCCTGATATTGCCGAACAAACACCCATCATCTCCACAATCCAGAACTGCTGGCAACTTTGCTGGAACAGCTTGCCACCTAGAACAGTGATTCTGAACCTTGCTAATGCCGCAACCCTTTGCTACAGTTGCTCATGTTCTGGGGACACCAACAATCAAATTTTCTTGTTGCTACTTCACAACTGCCATCTTGCTACTGTTATGAATGGCAAGGTCAATATCTGACAGGTAGGATACCTGATGTGCAACACCCTCCCCCAAGGCGTCATGACCCACAATTTGTGAACCACTGACATAGAACTTTGGACCTGATTCTCAATCCTAGTTCCTAGTATAACTATAACAGCCATGGAAACTAAGAATAGAGAAAAAGAGCTAGTGATAGAGAAAGAGGGAAAATGAAGATGGCAACAGGGAGAGATGGAAAGATGGACAGAGATGGAAATGGAAGGAGAAAGAGAGGGAGCGAGAGTAATGGAAGAAAAGAGGAAGGTAGGGGGGTGGGTGAAAAGGGGAGCAAGGTAGAGATGAAATAGGAAGGAAGTGAAAAGGAGGAACAGAGGAGAGGTGTTTCAGTTTGAAAGTCCAAACACCCAATGCCTAAGGGCCACCTGGAATGGCCTCAATCAATGACAACTAATAAATTATCCTCGCACATGCCCTTGTGCTGATGACTCAGCAAGTCTACAGTTGGTAGAACAAAAGAACAGGAACACAAGTCTTATTAGCAACCATGGGTAGTATATTAGTAACTTTCCCTTTTTATCAATTAGTGCAGTGATTTTCTACTATAATTGCATCCATAGTCTTACAGCGTTAGAGTGTTGTCTCGTTATGCATCAATGTATCCCAGTAGTTTTTGAGCTTTAGAGAGAGCACCACATTTTTTTGCTCTAATATCAAGTCAATGGAGAAATGGGAATGTTTTAAACACTTACCAATATTTCCTAAATGAATACATATGTAAAGGAAGAAGATCATGGGCTGGGGTCTGAAAGTGACAAGATACTCTTTCCAACAGAGCAATCAGTCCAGCATTTGAGGTTTCCAGTGCTTGCTGGCGTGTGTGTGTGTGTGTGTGCGCGTGTGTGTGTGTGGTGTGTGTGTGTGTGTGTGCGCGTGTGTGTGTGTGGTGTGTGTGTGTGTGTGTGTGGTGTGTGTGGTGTGTGTGTGTGATTCCAAAATTGCTCTTGATCACGGAAATTAGGCCAAGGCCACTTTAAACTGTGGTGTGTAAATGATGCACACACCTGTACTTAAGAATCCAGAGTCCCCTCCTTCATAAAAATATTCAAGGAGAGACAAGAGGAAGTCATGTAACTACCCGAAGCTTACAGAATAACCATAGGGACTGATTGCACTATTTACAAACAATGCACCGAAGTGACAGCTTCCTGGTGTGGGTCTGAATGATAATGTTATTTTGTAACCAAGGTTGTAGGAGGAAGCCTGTATGCCGCCATTAACCATGTGACTTACTAGAGGCACATACAGATGAGGTAATAAAAGAGCCGTTTACCATACCACTAACCACACCCACTTTAGGCATGACTAAAGACGTATATGGACAGACATAAAGACATATATGTACATAGGCGGTGAACTATATCACTAGCCAGGCCCACTTTTGGGCATGGCTAGGGGGCGTTACGGGGGAAGGCATACAAGACAGCACACAGGAAGTCTTGGTCTCTTTTCCCAGAGTTCGGCTTCTGGTTCGGCATCGGGAAAACTACTGGGCTCATCTGGGTTACTTGTTTGGTATCTTGTGAGTAATTTTTACAATAAATACTTAGTTTTACTTTCAGTAAGTGTGTTGCTTATCGTTACAGCGTCATTTGAATCATCACAAGGTTTTATATACGGAGGTGAAGAAAGATACATTGAAATTAGAGCATTCAGTACCCAACCTTTAATGAGGACTTACATACAATATAATGTGAGATTAGAACCAGAATAAGCTTGATGTCACAGAAAAATACTTAGTGGAAGGACTTCTGTGCTGCTTAGCAAGATGAACGTCTGGAAGTACACTGAAGCTTCTTTTTGTCTACCTAACAATGAATGTAGCAAAACACAAAACTGGGTGGCACAATTCCTTACATTTATTTTCTGTTTGTGTGTGTGTGTGTGTGTGAATATGCATGTGTATGTGGGTAGACGAGCATGTATGTGTGCAGGCCAGAGGTAGATGCCAGATGTCTTCCTCCATGGTTCTCCAGCTTAGTTTTGAGGCTGGGTCTCTCAATGAGTCACCTCTCCCAAGTGCTGGGTTTACAGATGGACACCACAATATTTAGTTTTCAGTTGATTGCTGAGGATCCAAACTCAGGTCCTCATGCTGGCATGAAAGACTCTTAACTGACTGAGCCATCTTCCCTGCCAATTTCCTGCTGACATAATATTTTCATTGACTATTTGGGAGTTTCACATAATGTATTCCAATCATACACACTTCCCAGTTCTCCCAGGTCCACTTCTCAACCTTGTGACTCCATCCAAGAGAAAAGAAGAAAGAAAGAAAAAGAAAAAACACTTAGTTCGTTTTGTGTTGCCTGTATCCTTGCTGGATCAGGATCAAGTTCCCAGTGGCCAACCCCTTAAGGATAACTGAGTCCTTATTCTCCAGTTCCACTCCTGGCAGAAGCCATCAACTCAGAATATACCACAGCATCCCCACCACAATTTTTAAGAACTCTCTTCAACAGCTTCCTCTCTAGACCATTTCTTTTTGGATGGGTGTTGTCACAGAGGCCTTGTACATCTCCTACTTTCATCTGCAGCACCAATACCACTGCAAGAGAAACGTTCCTGTCCTCTACAGTCAGCAGTAGCACAGATAATGGACCTCCACATAGTTTCTGATAACAGCATGGACCACGGACTTCAACATGGTCTCCAGTGGTGACACAGGCCACGGACATCCACACGGTCTCTGGTCAGAGCATGGACCAGGACTGTGGACCTCAGCATGGACTTCAACAGCTGCACAAACCATGGACACCATTACCCTCATCCCAACCTCTAGCATTACGGCCCATGGACGTCAACACAGATTCAGGCAGCAGCAATGACTAAGGGCATCTATGTGGCCTTATGTGCTGACATGGACCATGGGCATCAACATGGCCTCCTGTTGGAGTATAGACTACAGACCTCAACATGACTGCTGGGTGTAGCACGGAGCCCGGACACCTTCACGGGCTTCAGCAGCTCCAGCCACAGGTATCAACATGGCAAAATGGTGGTAACATGGCCTGCAGATAGGCAGTGGCACAGACCACAGACATCCACATGACCCTTTGTGGTAACATGGGGCACAGATATCAGCATGACCTCCAGCAGTAGCACAGACTGTGGGCATTCACTTGGACTCTGGTCATAGCATGGACCACAGACTTTGACAAGGCCTTGGGTGGCAGCACAGACCACAGATATCCACAAGGACCTCAGGCCTTGACACTCTCAGCCAATTTCTTATGTTTGAACAAAGAACAGTGTTTCTCTTTGCTGTGTGATCAGTGACTGGGTTGATCCTGGGAGAACATAAGAAGGCCAGAGACAGGAAAACTGTAGGTGTATGATCCTGAAATTGCCAGGAGGCAAATAGGAGATTGAGAAGAAGCACTGAAGTGATAAGATTCAGTCCTACTTAGTTTTAGCCATCAATATGATGGATAGTCTCAACTGAGCATTGCCTGGATCAGATTAGCCTGTGCGTGTATCTGTAGCGGATTTGTCTGATGCTACTTGATGTAGGAGGACCCATCCCACTATGGGAGGCGCCATTCCCTGGGCAGATGGTCTTGAGATATATAAGGCAGTAAGCTAAGCTAAGCATGAATCAGGAAGCAGCACCCCTCCATGGCTTCTTCAAGTTCCTGCTTGAGTTCCTGCCCTGACCTCCCTCAATGACAGACATCAGATGTGAGCCAAAACAAACCCATTTCTCCCCTATTTTGCTTTTGGAGAGAATATTGTTTTTTATCACAAAACAGAATGAAACTCCTAACTAGAACAGATCGCTAACAGGAGTCTTATTGTTATGAGAGTCACATACATGAGTTTGGGAAGTGAGGAACTGTGGCAGGAAAAGGAAAGAGAATGAGAAAACATATTAAAAAGGCAGATCTCAGCCTTAGGCCCTTTTTGAAGATTTTTTTTTTACTTTATCATAACTCCTTGCAGATTAAATGAAATAGCACTGGGAAGGTGCTGTAACATTGAGTTATATGAGCTCACATCAATACTTTTGTGTATAATGGAATGGGAAGGTCTTCGGTAAATCTAAACAAATTCTGCATGCCTGGGTGTACATGTAGAGCAGTAGAGGCAAGAGTCTTCAGTCATCAGCTTTCTGAATGACTTACTTTAGATCAAGAGAGGCAGTTTTAGAAAGAGATTGCGGCTTTGGTCCATAAATGGGAAACAGGCTGGAGGACACGAGGAAAATATCAGCATGTAATAACCCAGGTTCACAGATGTCATGAAGGAGGAATGCGAAAGGGTATGGTAGATGTTTGGGAACCCAACAAGAAAAACTAGTTGTGTTTGGGGGAAATGTAGGATGTTGCATGATGGAGACTATGACTAAAAAATACCTTTCTTCTTCTGATGATATCTGCTGTGCTAGCATCGTTAAGCCTTATGGGCCAAAGGGCAATAATCAAGAATTACACAATATTGGTCCACTTCTTCAAGTTGAAGAAGCAAGGGATGCTGTTCTTGGAATTATTTGTGAAACAAATGGTCTGTAGTCAAAGGCCCACCCCTTTGCAAACTCCTAAGATGTTTTATGAAATTCCAGTGCTGAAACTAAAATCAGTAATGTCAATGAAATTGGGGATTTATCTCTATAGGAATATAGGTATTGAAACACTAATTGTTGTTGTTTGCTGCAGCTCCGGGTGATGAAACATGAACCACAAAACTCAACAAAGCCCACATGGACTTTATTGGAGAAAGGGAGCAAAGGAAGGGGTAGGTATTGGCCAACCGGGAGCACAGATGGAAGGGGGGGACCAGGTGGGAGGTGATCACTTAAAAGGGAAAGCTTGCCCTTGCATCCAGAGTCCTTATGCAGCCATGCAACACAGGGCCCTTCGAGCTGTCTAAGTATCTGCCTGAATGCTGGTGTGCATATCCTGTCAGTTGTCAGGGGGCGGGGTCAGAATAATGCCAGGATATCAACAATCTCACCTCTTCTTATTATTAAAAAGTGGGAGATTAAACAGGGGGCGTCAGGAAGGGCAGGAATATGGGGTGCCGAATCATCAAGACTGCTTCCAGCTGACCTAGGGGCTTGTTGACCATCTTTGGGAGGGGGGGAACCTGGGGTGCTGCCATGTCATGGGGTAGCTGGTTGTTTCATAGAAGTCCAGGCTGTATAGAACTCTCTGGTGCCTCTTAGACCTGTTTGGGTGGGTCCAATTCAGCTAGTGTTGTATCCTGGTCAATAGTGTTTCACAGGATAAGAAGGTCCCAGGTACTTTTTAGGCCTATTTTTCCTTTACTATATTCCCCAAATAGAAAATCATTCATGTGAATATCAGAATAGAGAGATAACAGTTGGACTACACAGCTGGTAACACAGACAGTACTTCCTTGGCCTTCTTCTTCCTCTTCCTTCTCATTCTCCTTCTCCTCTTCTTCTCAAGAAACATTTCTGAGAAGGGTAACATGCATAGTAACTTATACTGAGGGCACTAGCAATGCATGCATGAAACCTTTCATCTGGTGGAGTGAGACATTTAACGAGGAAGGAGGAGTGCATGGAGAGAAAGGACAGGATGAGCTACAGTTTTCACTGTTGCAATGGTCAGGATCATCTTTCCTCAAAATCAATATCCATTATCAATAGCCTACATTGATCTTTGGTGTGTCCACTCACACATGCAATTTTACCTCCTCAGGCCTTATGAGTTGAGACTCAAAGTATTTCCAGAGAATGTGAAACCAATATTTTATAATAAAATGTTGAGTTTTAAAATGTGGTGGGCTCTGGGTCTGCCCTGGCCACAACATGGGAACTTTCCCTCAAGTATGACATTGTACTATATATCAAGAATGTATTTTATTTTATTTTATTTTTACTTTCTGTAATTGAGGAAGCCAAGGGTAGAGAGCTGCTGGCTTAAAAATGGAAGCAGAGCCAGTAATAGAAGCTGGAAAGCTAATGCTATTCCCTACTCTTTCTAAAATTATAGGACCATGTTATTCCTCCTCTTCCTCCTCCTCCTCCCTCTCTTTCTCCTCCCATTGCTCTTCCCATTTGTGACTCTTGTTCATACCGATGCTTCACAAAAGTGGACTTTCTTAGAAGGAAAAAGGTAGAATTGTGAAAGCAATGCCTTGTGTTTCCAAAAGCCTGCATTATTGAAAGCCTTGAGCAGTCCCTTCCTGTCATACGGAGAGATGTTCAGAATGCACTGTGGAAGCGTTTCCCAGAGGGTTTTATTTATAGTTGACGAGCTATCACACTGTTTGACTTTGTGTTAAAGCGCGGTGTTATGACCTGTGAGACTCAAGCAGAAATTTGTCATTTGTAAGAATTTATGAAAATTAAGCGAGATAATTTAGATAGAATGCTTAGCTATATTTTATTGTATGGACCTACACAAAAGGAAAAAAATGTACCACGACAGATCCTTCATTTTAATGTAACAGAAATAATCTTACTTTCATAAGCATTTACTGCGCAGTTGTTTCCTATGAAGAAGTGACCTGTCCTCCAGGATGATGAGGTGACACCTCAATTATACTGATTTTTCTGTTTGTGTGAGTGACTTCCAGAAGGACCAGGGATGAAAGCTGTCTACCCACCTCATTGTTGGTATCCATCATTGTTGGATTCCATCGTCTTTGTTCGGTTTGTCTTCAATGTAATCGACTAATGAACAATTTCTAGAATTAAAGAAGTGTTGAATGCAAAATTTCCCATGTAAATACAAACATACACCCTGTACAATTCGGGCTGTATAGCCTTGGAGAAAATCTATTTACATCTCGGTGTCCTAGTTGCTTCATAGTAATACCTATTTCATAGCATTGTCAGTATTAAAACCTTTAAGTTTACAGACTTCACCTGGTAGCAAGTGCTCATTTGTTGTATATATGTATCTCTATTTTTTTTCAGTTTGTCTGGATAGCATGTGTCTGTAGGCACCAGGACAGCAGTACCTAGGGCCATTCATTATGGAATCATGGGAGGAAATGACTTTGGTGAGTCACTGTGTCTTAGTAGTTTTCCATTTGCAAGTTCAAACTAATTCTCAGTGCTCTAAGAATTATACGGCTGAAGATCAAGTTACTAATTCACTAAAATAAATATATTTATATTGCAGGCATCTCCTAACATGTAAATATTAATTGTAAAAATTAATGAATTTCTCTGTACCATTTTCATATACTCATCCATCTGGTCCTCTTTAGGGTTAGGGCACTCTATACTATCCTCTAAGAAAGTGGGTGAGCATTTCCTGACACACGACAGAGTATTTAGTTTTGATAGGATGTCACTTATAGACTTTCATGTCTGATACTCAGGAAGAATTTCTCATTCTAGTCAATGGAATATGAAGACACACTTAAGATGTGTCAGTCTCAGACTGGCCCAATAATGTCCCATGTGAAACCCTTGCTTTTTTTTTCCTCCCCACCAACTAAATTAAGAAGTCTGTATAGACATAGAAGAGGTTGGCGTGAGTGTTAGGAGAGGACCCGGTTCCTAACTCAAAGTGTGTATTGGAATCTTTCTGTCTATTCCTACCCCAAACCTCCTCCAAACCATGAGTGAAGCTTAAAAATGTTTAAGTTAAGCCACGGAGAGTTAGGGTTTCTGAACAGCACAGCTAGCCTGTCCTGGATAATTTGCATATCGCAAAGGAGATAGCTGTCTCAAAGTGATCAATAAATGCCAATTAATGACTCTTTTCAAACAACACATCATGGTTTTTTCTTTTTTGTAGTTGAACTAAGTGAATTTGAATTATGAGGTGGCCATGAGCCTATGAGAGCCTGAGGCAGAATGTTATGGTCTGAATGAGAATGACCCTGATAGGTTCATGAGTTTGAACTTGTGGTTGGTGGCACTTGTTGGGAAGGCGGTGGACGTTTTAGGAGGTGGAGTTTTGCTGGAGGAAGTGAATCTCTGAGGATGGGTACTGAGGTTTTATAGCCTTGGCTCACCTCACTTCCTTCTCTCTCTCTCTCTCTCTCTCTCTCTCTCTCTCTCTCTCTCTCTCTCTCTCTCTCTCTCTGTCTCTCTCTCTATTTCCTGTATGTGGGTAAATATGACCAGCTAGCCTCCTGCTCCTGTCACCATACCATCTTCCTGTTGCCATGCCATAATGCCTGCCTCGAGGGACTGTATTTCTTCTGGGACTGTAGGCCAAGACAAACCCTTTCTTTCTTAAGTTGCTTTTGGTTGTGGAATTCTATCACAGCAGAAGGAAGACGACTATGAAAAGTGGTATAGCCCATCTTTCCTTGAGCCTATTCCCTAGTGTCTTTGATTGGAATTTGGAGCATTTCCACAAACTCTTCAGTATAGTGTTAGTCAGCATTGATGGGTAGCTTGAGAATATACCTTTTGTAGATCAAATTTTAATATTTTTATCTTTAACATTTTATCTTTATCATTGAAAAAATTCTTAAGTCACTTCTCTTTTGCCTATGTTATTGCCTCATTCTGTTTATGTTTTATATTTTCCAAGTCTTCACAGAGGCTACTTGACCTGTTAAGATGCTATTGTGTATCTCAGCACATCCAGATGTCAGAACTTTCCTGGGCTAGGTGATAGTTTTCAGGACTGTGATTATGTCCATATGGTAGCTGGCATGTTTTGCCATTCACCCAGCTCAGTTGGACCAGTGGATTCCTAGAGCTAGATCATTCAGACTATCCTATTGGATGAGCCAGAAAAATGGACTTTTATTATCCTTCCATTACTCTAGTTCTCTGGATACAATAACTACATATGGGATACATACTATGTGCCAGAAAGTTATAGGATAATTGTGACTCAGTTTCAGTTTTGTACTGAAGGAGCCTGTAGTCCTATGGAATATAAACAGATGTGTTATTATTATTTATCATTAGACTATTGTTTTCCATGACTAAATAATTTCTATTTAAGAAATGTTATTAATAAATGTAGTATCTGTAGATTTTTAAGCTGGAATCTATTTCACAAATAGTAAAGCATCCTGGGCGCAGTACACAGTATACAGATGATCTTTGAGATTATCACTCATATCAAAACAATACACCTCAGTACCCTACAAGGGCATTTTATGCCTCTTCCTAGTAGTTTTCAGTTGTATAAGAATGGACTTACATAGCATGAATCTGCTGTCTTTCTTGGCCCAGTACTCTCTGAAAGATTCATATTATTGGTTGTGGTTATGGATGCATCTTTTGTATTCTTAGATACTTGGTTATTTCTAGTTTTAGACTTTTGCAACAGAGTCTGTATGGGAACTCTTGTTCACATATTTTGCAATAAGGGCATCCTTGTACAGGCATTTAATGACCTAAGTGTGCCTTTGGAGTCCAGATATGCAGGATTGGAACCAGCAGGTTACAGAAACATGCATACTTTCTTCAATATGCACAGATGAATAGTTTTCCAAAATGTGCCATCTTTTACTCCACCTAGTTATGCATGAGAATTCTAATTGCTTTATGTCCCAATCTAGTAGTGTTTCATTAATTAGTTCTTCTAAGTTTATGTTTCCTCCTGTAGATTTGGTAGTATCTGTTTTGAATTGCATATACTTGGTGCCTAATATACACATTTCTTTACTGACATTGGCAATTTTTCTTACATGATTTATCTTTTAAGGATTTTTTCTGTGAACATTGTGTTACTTCCTTCTTTTTCTTGTTTGTTTATAGGAAGTTTTTATATATTCTAGCTGAGAGCATTTTATAAAACAATTGTGCTGCATTATCCTCCTTTTAACTCCTTGACAACTGTAATGATGGCTGACTTTTCCTTGATTCTGTAATTCTCTCCTCTCTCCCAATCAGCTTTGAGTTTACTAATTTTGTTAATGCTTTAATTTTTTTCTTTACTTGATATTTATTATTTCTGTTTTTAAATTTCATTGCTATGAAATCTAAAGGGGCTGTTTGGGGAAAGAAAAGACACCATAAAGAGGATGAGAAAGGGAAGATACAGAACAGTGGTGGGGTTGAAAAGGAAGAAAATAATACATGGAAATATCAAAAGGGAATCCATTATGTTGCATGCTCCATTTAAAAAGAGTTTTAAAAGTCTACTGACTCTGCTTTTTAAAACATTCTTTTGCTTTCTCACTTTCTCACAGGTTCTATTGTTTGTATAAGGATGAAGTTAGTTGTTTTAGTCAAATATGATCATACTTACAATTTAACTTGATTTTTGATAGCTGTTTGCACTTAATGTGGTTAGCGATACCAACTTCATGTTTTTTGTTTAAAATAATATCCATATTATTCTTGATTATTATGTATCTGCTCTTGTCTCCATTTGTTTATTAATAGTCAATATATTTATTTTATAATTATATCATACAGATTCAGTAACACATTATTACTGTTGTTCCTTTAAACATTTGATATCTACTTTTATACTTTGAAATTTTGATCTATCTGATCTATAGTACAAAAATCTCCAATAGACAGATTTCCACCAAAATGGGGAATATGTTACTTCACGCTCTTTATCTCTGCATCCTAATTAGATAGCACTAAGCATCTAAACTAAATACATCCTGAATATAGGAGGCTTTGAGTGGGATGCTAGCTACCCACCCTTCACAGTCAACTCTCATTCCCTCATAGTATAGTGATTACAAGACAGTGATGGCACTTGGTACCAGACCTCTGGAGGACATTAGTCTGCATAGAATATGTGGGGAATTCAGGAATTCTACTGCCCATAAGAGGGAGGGGGAAATGGCAAGGAATAAATGAGAAGGTAAAAGTCAGAGTGCTGTGCTATTTGATTTTATTTGATGCCTTCCCCTCAAAACTATGACAGACATGAAAAACTGATATTGATTGTGGAGAGCAGAGAAAGTATTGAGTTTCATTTCAAAGTGGTGTAGTGATAGACAAAAGCAATAATAGAGGAAATAAGATAGGAGATGGAGCAGAGATGGTGGTGTAAAACTCTTGGGAACTGGCAGAAATATTGAGGAAATGTTCTCCGAGGCCTTGAAAACAAGAAGTTCAGCACGCTTCCTTCTTTTTTTTAAGTAAGATTTATTTATGTTATGCATATGGATGTTTGTCTTCATACATATCTGCATACCAAAAGAGAGCATTGGATCTCTCAGGACTACAGTTATAGACAGTTGTGGTTGCTGGGAATAGAACTCAGGACCTCTGTAAGAGTAGCCAGTGCCCTTACCACACTTTTCCTGCCTCTCATAGTGCAGAGAGTAATTAAAAGCTTTTGTACATAAAGAATTGTGTCTCAAAAGCCAGTATTAGAGACATTTAAAAATGTAGGAGAAGAGTAGCCAATATGGTAGCACATGTCCTTAATCCCAGCAATGAAAAGATAGAGGGAGTTGATGTATGTGAGTTCAAGGTCAGCCTGGTATACCTAGAGAGTTTCAGAACAGCCAGAACTACAAAGTGAGACCATGTCGCAAAAATAAAATAAAATAACATAAGGAAAGTAAAAGAAATCATTGAGATTGTCCATTGGACAAGGTAAGAGGTATTTCTTGTAGTTTTTTTCTTACTATTCATAAGGATAAAGATAAATCTTGAAAAATTATTCAAATTTATTTAATAAAAAGATTAGGGGTGAAGGACGTTTTAGGAAAAGAAAGTGCTGTAGTTAAGGATTTGAGTGGAATTACCCTTTCATAGGTGGACACTGTCCTTACTAGACACCACAGGCAAACAAATAAAAACTCCAGTACCAGGAATGGGTTACCTCTTTTGGAATTTTCAGCTAATGAGTTTCCACAGACTCTACCAAACATGACGGAGTATTGCCATCACTTGTGGTCATCTTCCAGAACTTTCTGTTACCCAATTGCTGCATACAGTACATGCTTGAGTCATAGGACAGAGATACCATTAGAGCTAACCTGGAAGATTCATCAGTACTGACTCACTTTCGCAGTTCTGGAAGGTGCTATCACCTTCAGTAGCAAAGCAGAACAGTAGAGTAGAAAAGTCATCTCCAGTCTTACTCAGTGGTGAATCCTGTGTACTAC